GAAAGCAGTATGGAAATTCCCTAAAAAACTTGGAATGGAACCACCATTTGATCCAGTTATCCCACTCCTCGACCTATACCCAAAGGTCTTAAAATTAGCATACTATAGTGATGTAGCTACAACAATGTTTAGAGCAGCTAAATTCATTGGATTAGCCAAACAGGAATGAAGGGAAGGGGGAAGAAATGGGATTAGCCAAACAGGAAGGAAGGGAAGGGGGAAGTAATGGGAATGGGCATAGATTTGTTCAACATTACAGTGTGACCACCCTGATGTGGGAGAAAGGCCAGGGCCCTGCCCAGCTTAGGCAGGTCATACAGATGTGAGGGTCCTCAGCATTATAGCATGTTTGAGTGCCTCCCTGAAAAGTGATTCCACAGAACAGAAGCTAGCTAGGCAGTGGAGAAGCCACAAAAATTCAGCTGCCCTGCACCAGCTGCCTCCTTTGCTAGAATGAATGGGACATAATTTTCCTATGTTCATATATGCATACATGACCAGTGTAACTCCACATTGTATACAACCACAAGAATGGGAAATTATACTCCATGTACATATGTCAAAATACATTCTACTGTCAGGTACAATTAAAAAGAACAAATTTAAATTTTTCAAAAAAGAACCAACCTTCAATCAATCAAATACTAAGGAATAGTCTCTAATATTCTGTTACCTAAACCTCTTTAGGAAAGTAGCAGAGAGAAGTCAAAGGCAGAGGTCTGGTAAGAAAACCAAATCTCTGCCACTATTATGGCAAATGCTAAAGTCTGCACAGCACCCATTCTTCAAACTTCACATCTGAGTATCACTCAGCTACAAAAAACACCTCTAATTTCTCAATGTTTCTTATGTCTATATTTTCTTGTAAGGATGGTCTAAGGACTGCTAGCTTTAGACTTATTCTGAAACTTCGCCCCACAATAATGAGGCTCCAGCAAGCATTTTTATCAAATATCATGAGTAATTCATGATGTAAACTTGTGTTTAACAGCTAGACTCTTGGGACTGGGGTTGTAGCTCAGTGGTAGAGCTCTTGCCTAGCATGTGTGAGGCACTGGGTTCAATCCTCAGCACCACATACAAAATAAATAAAATAAAGGTATTGTGTCCATTTACAACTAAAAAATATATATTTTTAAAAAGCTAGAATCTTAATCCACTCTACAAAACTCAGTAGAAGTTACCACTACATGATCTCCCCAAATTAGAATTAATTTATTTCTTCTGTACTGTTTGAAATTATGTGTAGTTCTCTTATAACGTTTACTACCTTATCACTTCCCAATACTCCTCCTTACCTTCTCTCTGAAGGAAAACTTTCTCATTAATTCTGATTAACTATGGCAGAAGATTACTACTTGTTTTTCCTCCAATAGATCATTGCTTAATTCCGGCAGTTATTACAGGATGCTACATAGATAAAACGAGCTGAAATACCTACAATTCCAGGAGCTAACTCTAATCTACCTAATGTTCTCCCACAGATTATGATGAATGATGATTTTTTATTAAAAAGTGGTCTGTAATCTTCTAAAAGAATATAACAAATGGTTTTATTCCTTTAATAAATTTTCTAGAGTATTTTCACAATTTGAAAGCATAAAAACTAAGAGTGAGATCAGTATTTTTAGTCTAGATTAAAATCCTATTGCTATTTGCTCAGAACATAAGGACTTTATTATATGCACAAGCATCTATGGAGTTTTGTTCTGCATCTGTATCAGAGAGCAGAATRAATTTATAATTGATTAAATTATAAAATAAAAATGTCCCAAGAGTTTCTTTACATTCTGGAGTAGTATTTAAGACAACACTGAAGTACTCAGCCAAACCTAACAAAAAATTTCCAAATATTACCTACATGATATGTAAAAAATAAAAAGAGAAATGACAAAGGGAATCAAACTAAAGAAAACAAAAGGGCAAGGAAAAAAACAGTAGAAACCAAGACTAAACTTCATTTAATTTGAAATATGCTTCTATTCTGAAAAAAAAAAAAAAAAAAAAAGTTCAAAGTGAAGCTCCACAATCATGAATGTTAAGAATTAGGCTAGGCACAAAGGCATGGTCCTTTAATCCCAGTTACTGTGAGGAGCGTCACAAGTTCAAGGATAGCCTGGGAAACTTAGGGAGACCTTGTCTCAAAATATGAAATTAAAAAAGCTTAGGAGAAGGCTGTGGCTGTAGCTCAGTGGCAGAGTGCTTGCCTAAAACATGTAAGGCACTAGAGCTGATCCTCAGCACTGCATAAAAATAAATAAATAACGGATTCTGTCTATCTACAACTAAAAAATTGGAAAAAATAAAAAAGATCTGGATTTAATTCAGTAATAGAACACTCGACTATTGTGTGCAAAGCCCTGAGTTCAATCTCTAGCACAGCAAAAAAAGTGTTAGATGGTGCTTTAATCCCCATCAGTTTTTACTTCTTTTTATCTAGGAGAAATTTAGAATCCTTATCAAAGTTGAGTGATTTTACCAAATTCACATAATAATGGGCAGAATCTGGATCTCCTGAGTTCATGTCTAGTGTGTCCTTTTTATTACATTGTTAGGCCTAAACAATGTAAAAACTGTTGTCACTTCAACCAAGCTGAATCCTAAATAAATTCAATATGTTCACTTTATTAAGTGGTCAAACCTTTTGTTTTGAAGAATTCCAGGCTCTGACTACACTTGCATATACCGACATTATCAATTTCATATCTAGGAAAGATAGAGTCAAGTAATTAGCTCTGAAGTATAAGCAATGCCAGAATGAACACAGCCAAATATCTGATCCCCAGTCTGAAACATTCTGAGAATAAGCATAAGACTACATTTGTTTAAGATATAATTACCTCTTTTGAATTGGCAGGAGAAAGGTTCTATTGCTACTATTCCAGAACACAAGAAACAAGTTCATATTCAGCTTCTTTGTGACTATGATGAATTTAAGGATTTTAAATTACACCATCTTCAATTTTTTTAGACCAAGAAGTAAAAAGTTGATCTTAAATTTAAGAAACTGAGATCAGAGTTTGAGTTCAGACTACTACCTCAAGTAAATAATTTCCTATTTCTGAACCCCATATTTGTCTGTAATATTCAAGAGGATAGAATGGTTGATCAAGATTTGGTTCCTACCAGTTCCCTCTCTTTGTCTAATTTCATTGATGCAAAGAAAAAAAAAAAAAAAACCTCTCGTAAGACACACAAACTACATACTATTCACTGAGGTTTAAAATACATAAACAGAGGGCTGGGATTGTGGCTCAGCAGTAGAGTGATGGCCTCCAACATGTGAGGCTCTCGATTTGATTCTCAGCACCACATAAAAATCAATAAATAAAATAAAGTATTGTGTACAGCTATAACTAAAAAATAAACATTAAAAAAATAAAATACATAAACAATGCTTAAAGTGAAGTATGTTATCTGGTAGACTGCACAGGAACTATATTATTTAAGATCTTTGTTTTACATTCATTTCATTTTCTAAGTCATTAAAAAGTTAATCATCACACAATAACCAAAATGAAACTTGACAATATTTGGCCCTGAAAAAAATCATGGCTGACAAGAGCCAAATTCCAAGACATAAGCCCTGCAGATGAGGATTTAAAAGCTTTCACACCATGAAGTAACTTGACAGTTTTGAACTATGCTAGCTAGAGCCCTGTGATCTTGGAAACAACAAAGACTTAAAAAATAAAAATAAAAACCATCGTTTTGGGTTCTAGAAAATGACTTACTGCAATAGAACCACCATTCCCCATAGAACTTAAATAAGGTTCACAGTCTAGTCTTCCACCCAGCTCCTGCGAATTTACCTATGACAAAGCCAGGATCTAGACCCTCCAAATTCCCTGTTTCATAAATGACGTCCTGAACTGCTTATCACAACCAATCGTGGAAAACAAGTGCTTATTAATCAGACTTTGATTAAGAGTCTCTTCCTAGAAGTCCCTGGACGTTGGCTTGCACTCAGTCTGAAACAGCACACAAACCACTGTTAACAGCTCCTCAAAATAGGCTGCCTCAGAGAAAAACATTCTCTGGTTAGTGTCCATAATAACACCAGTCTTTCATCTTACTTCTCCATATGTGGTTATTTCTAGCGTTATTACCCTGCCCTATAAAAGAGAACGTTTTTTGTCTAACCTTTGAGACCCTTGCTGATCCCATGATCAAGGCATTCTCTCTACTATGATAGATCTTTCCTCCATACCTTTGTGATTTTTCCTTTCGGATAAAATCTGTTCTTACTAATTGGGATTTTTAAATTTCACATCCTTTCAATTCTGAAATGGCTGAGTTTGAAAGATAACCTGATTTTGTGTTCACTTGGAGACACTAAAGGTATTTCTAATTCTCGGTCTCTGTCCTGCGGCTGAAAAAGAAGGCGGGGAGGAGGTGATGAGCTGGGCAAGGTCAACTCTAGGTACACTTGGCGCCACGGGCCATACACACTGATGGGCCAAGAAGAGGCAGGCTACCCACTCGGTACTTCCTGCCAGATCCACTCCCACCCTCCGCCCTCCTAGTCTCGCGGCTGGTCAGGACGGATGCTGATTCCCCAGGAGCTCTGACACTTGGGGCGGGTAGTGGGTCCTGCACAGAGGTTCACCGGGTGCTCCAGCCAGTTCCATTCTAAGCAGGGCACTCAACCGCCTCCCCTCACAGGAGACTTCCTGGCCATTTCTCTCCCACAGTTGTTACTCCTGCCTTCACAGAAGAACTCACCATGGCGCCAAGGACGGGTAGTGGACCAGACACCCCGGAGCCGCCGGATCTCCCCTGCCGGTGTTGCAGAGGGGAACCTCTAGAAACCGCGAGGAAGAAGGTCTTCCGGCTCTGCCGGAAGTTTGCCTGCGCGGGACAGGAAGTTCCTCCTCCTCCTGAACGCCGGCAACCCCACGCTACGCAGAGGTGAAAATACGTAGGACGTCCTCTAAAGCAACTTCCGTGGTGCTAGGTTAGGGGCTAGGGGTGGTGCTGACCTTGAGAGGTGCGGGGAAGGCGCAGGCGCAGCACAGGTAGGTGGGCGGGTGGAGCGCCCTTGCCGCGCCTAAGACGATTCTGAGGTAGGTTGGGTGGTTTCGGAAGGAGCGCATTCTCCCTCTGGRAGGTGACGGAAGCACAAGTAGGTGGCTCGGGTGAGAGTCGACCCCTATATCCAGCGGATTTAGTGAGGATAAAGACCATATTGGGTCTTGTTCTTCCTGATACAATGCCGTAATTGCCTCGGCTTGTAGCCAGTGCCCTGTCTCATTGTACCCTTTCGCTTTTCTGATTTCGTCCCTTTGGGGAGTCTCGCCTTTTCGGTAGACCTGTTGTCCTTCTGTGGTTTTCATTTCCTGTCTTAGTGTGTCCAGCTCTACTCCCTCAGGTCAATGGAATCTGACCGTGAGAAGTTTCTTCATTATTCAGACACCAGCTGGAGCCAGAAGGACATCTACGAAGAACGGAGTAACCAAGAAGAGAATTCTACCTGTTCATTATATTCCAATATGGACGTTTTCTTTTTGGCTATTAAAAAAAAAAAAAAAAAAAAGGAAACGAAATTACCAAGTGGAAAGAAAGGAAATTACCCCCAGTCAACTCTTTATGCCTTTTTATTATAATGAGATATAGTCCTGGAGGCAGGCTTGAAATGGGTATGCAGAGCACCATCAACCCAGAAGTACATGGGGATCTTTACTTAAGTTGTGGCTATCTGTAATCTCATCCATTTCTTTTTGCTGTAGAGTCAAGTTTTGTCATGAAGTTGGAACTGAGACCGGAAGCTAAGAAGCTTCAGAAGAAGTTAGAAATGGTTATGGATTTTCAGTTTCACCCTTCTTACCAGAGTATCTGGAGGGAATGATATGAATGTCGTAAATGGCCCAAAGACCTTGAGAATTAGAGGTCTGAACCATCCAAAAGAAGCAGGCATGGAGCAGTTGCTATCTATTAGAAAGGGGGTTCAGAGACTGGTTGTGTGAGTTATGTTGTCTTTTACTTTAAATTTTGTGTGTGTTGAGGGGGTACATAGCATTATAAGGTGGGAAGATACAGAAATCCTAAATACTGACAGAAACAACTGGAAGCAGGAGGGGGCTGAGGAATAGTTTGTGAAACAAATTCTGCTGAGGATCAATCCAGAACTTCCCTGAGGGTTCAACTTCTGCTGTGTAGGGACTAGGTTGTAAATAGGCAAGCCCCAGGGCATCTACAGATGGTTAAGTGTGTAAGAGAGGGGTTGTAGTTGTCTGCTAGTGGATCTGTGGGAAGCAGGTGCTATCCTTGAGGAAGAAAAGGTGGAGAAGGAAAGTGGCTATCAGCCTGTCAGTGACAACACATCCTGTGAAGTCTTACTCTTTCATTTCTGACAGTGTGGTTCTTCTTATATCTGTCCTCAACCTGGCAGCCTCATTGAGGTTCACAAAGCATCTCTTTCTATGTGACAGTAACATTGAAATTATTATCAGGATAGATTCTCTTCTTGCCAGGGTAAACCAAGAAAATAAATCACTTTTTGTTATCTGCTTATCATTTTTTATATGCCATGGGGTTCTATATTCGTTATTAAGTATAAAGCACATTGATAAATACTCCTTGGTTAATATCCTTTAATATTCATGTTTCACAGTTATCTTTATTACATCATTATAAATCTTATACAAGTAGTATTTTAATGATTTAAATGCATATAATATATTTTAATGCAGTGTCACCCAATCCCTTTCTTATCCTATAGAAAAACAGTATTTTCTATTCTTTACCTGTCTTAAAGGAATTTTCCTGTTTCCATTTCTTAAAATAGAAGTCTTTGACAAAGATTCAAAGAAAGGGAAGAGTTATGAAAGGGGGAAAAAGGTGTGAATGATGAAGATTAAAAAGAAACTCAGTAGTTTTAACAAGGGGTTGGGAGCATAATCATTGAGAAACGTCTTGGTTGCTTACTATTAGGACTTAATTTAAAAAGTTGAAATGTCCTGAGAGAAATCTTCCCAAATATTTAGAAGTGCCAACAGGAAGTTGCCTCCTCTCTTAATACTCACATTGACCTGGAACTCTTACAACCTTTAAAACGTTATTACTTTTTTCAAAATTCAGTCCATAGTTTTTGCTTAGTTTCTCCTCTAAGAAACTGTTCACTGTTCTTTCTCTCATTTAATAAGTGTGATTATTACATGCTTTCTTTTTTTCTGTCATTTATATATATATTTTTTTTAGAGAGAGAATTTTTTAATATTTATTTTTTTAGTTTTCGGCGGACACAACATCTTTGTTTGTATGTGGTGCTAAGGATCGAACCTGGGCCACACGCATGCCACGAGAGCGCTCTACCGCTTGAGCCTCATCCCCAGCCTTCCTGTCATTTATATTGTTTTCCAATAACCACCTAGAGAACTGGGATCTTGTTTTTTTTCTGTTTTGCCATCTTCCTCTATAAGAAATACCTTAATGCTGTGGACAAAGATCATTTCAGTTAAATTGCACTTAAAATTCTTTGTGGACAAGATGTTAGTTGTCATAATACTTTAAATGATAAAAAGTAGTTGCAGTCTTACTTATAACAATAAGATTAGTCACATTCTGTTATATATGCTTAGTGGGATATTATCTGTTTTTAAAAGCCATTAGACTAGAGTTTCTAATGGAAAATGTTTAAATTTCTAAGTTAAAAGAGCATTTTATGGACTATGTTTTCCCCCCAAATTCATATATTGAAACCCTAACCCACAATGACACAACATAAATAGATAGGAACTTTGGAAGGTGATTTGTCATGAGGGTGGAGCCCTTATGATACAATAATGACTTTATAAGAAGAGATACAAGTGATCATGTTTTCCCTCTTTTCTCCATCATGTGAGGACAAAGTAAGTACACAGCTATCTGCAGTTCAAGAAGAGGGCCCTGTCCAGAGCCCATCCATGCTGGCAYCCTAATCTCTAACTTCCTAGCATCCAAACTATTAGAAATGTATTCTATTGTTTGACTTACCCAGTTTATGCAAAATAGTGCTCAGGGTGGGTTTTTGTTTGTTTGTTTAATTTTTTCTTTTTTTGTAAATGGACAGAATGCCTTTATTTTATTTGTTTATGTGGTGCTGAGGATCGAACCTAGCATGCGAGGCAAGCACTCTGCTGCTGAGCTACAGCCCCAGCTCAGATGGTTTTGTTTTGTTTTTGTTTTAATTTAGGTAAAGAATAGATCAGTTTGGCTTTTGTTTCTAAAATTTTGCTTTTTAACATTCACCTATATTGCTCTCATCTTTCTAGTTTGGGGAAAAATTTTTTTCAGAAGCATATTGCAACCTTTTAATGATTGAATAGCCTCCCTGAATCTCCTTTGTTTCTATGACTGTACCACATAGCTGATCAATTGGTTGCATAAACTCTGAAAATTTTACACAAGTGGTACGGTGCACATTTTCAAAAACCATTAACATATGAAATGGGATCTTGATACCATTTGATACCTTTTCTTGTGAGGAAAATCTAAAACAGTCACCATCACCAAAGGCAGTAAACAGACAAAACCATATCTGTTGGAAACTGAAATTACTTTTATTCATTCATTAAATATTTATCACCAGTCACTGTTCTGTACTCTGAGAAAACCATGGTAAATAAAGTAGACATAGTCCCTATCAGGTAATTTACGTTTCAGTAGTAACCGACCATACATGAATAAATAAGGAAAATGTAAGATAGTAAGTACTAGATGAGTATTATAACAATAGTACTTCATGACTAAATAGATGACTATTTTAGATTATATGATTAAGAACAGCTTCTAAGAAGATGCCGTTTATGTTTGTGTTTCAATGATAAGAGAGCCCTGTTTTGCAGAAATTGAGGAACCATTGTTTACAGAAAGGGTGACAATGCAAGACAAAGGAATGATCTACCTTGGAATATTTCAGGAGTCAAAAGAAAGTCTGCATAGTTGGAACATAGCGCCTAAGGGAAGAATAATGCTGACGGGATTGGAAAGGCTAGATCATGTTAACATTGAAAGCCAGGAAGGGGTTTGGGTTTTATTCCAAGTGCAGTGGTGGGGTGAGTGGGGTGGAGGGGTGGTTTTTAAGCTGAGGAATAATATAAAATAATAAATTTTTTAATCTGTGGTAATATTTTTTAATCGGAGTATTCCATCTGCTTACATGTAAGAATTACTAATATGTTTATATTTAAATCAATGATATTTACTTCTTTATTTGTCCTACCTCTCCTGTGTTCATTTTCTTTTTCTTTTCTTTTTTTTTCCCAGGGGGGTGGTTGTTTTCTGGGGATTGAACTCAGAGCATTCGACCACTGAGCCACATCCCCAGCCCTATTTTGTTTTTATTTAGAGATAGGGTCTCATTGAGTTGCTTAGCACCTCACTTTTGCTGAGGCTGGCTTTGAACTTGGAGTTCTCCTGTCTCAGCCTCCCAAGATGCTGGGATTACAGGCATCCTGTGTTCATTTTCTTTTTTAYCTTCTTTTAAATTGATTAATTATTTTTAACTCTTCTGGCCTATAAGCTTAACAATTATTTATCTTTTAGTATTCTTTTTAGTGTTGACCTAGATCACAACATGAACTCTTAGTTGATTAACTTCTAAGATAATTTAGTATACCTCTTCCTAGGTAATATAAGGACCTTAGCACACATCAACTTCACTTACCATTTTATATAAATTGTCTATTCTTGATGTGTATTTCCTAAATTCTTATTATCTTTATACAATTAATGTGCACTTATATTTATGCAAACTTTCTTTTGCTGTTCTGTGTAATGAGTACCTGAATCAGAGTTTGCATCTCAGATTATATTATTTTTCCTCTAGAAAGTGCATTAATATGAATGTTTTATGAATATTTGCRTATTACATGTTCACATGTTCTCCCAGTTTTTGTATTCTGAAACTTTATTTTTTGTTTTATTCTCAACCAATATTTTTACTGAAGTAGCAACTATTTTATGATTTTAAAAGATACATTCTATTGCTTCTGGCTTCCATTCTTAGAAATAACATCAGTTTTATGTTTACCTTTTAAAGGTAATTTATTTTTTCCTTGATACGCCAGCATGGTGTTTTTGTTGATTTTTTTTTTCTTTTGAGGTTTATAATGCTGCTTGAATCTGGTTCTGATGTTCTTAGGTCTATTTTGGAAAATTGTCATCTCATTGGATACTGATTTTGCTCCCACTCTTTTTTTCTCATCTTCTGGTACTCCACTTACATGATGTGTTTGACCTTTTCATTTTTGTCCCCTGTTTTCTTTATATTTGCCTCTTATCTTTCATTCTAGATAATTCTTAACCTTTCATTAGATTCACTGTTTTTAGTTCTTTCTAATCTGTTGAAAACTACCTGTCAAAGCATTTATTTCAGTATCTTTTTAGTTACTTATTCAAGTATTTCTGTTTGGTTCTGTTTTATTGTTTCCAGTTATCAACCCAATATCAATCTCATCTTTTATTTTCTCAAATTTATAATTCATAGTTCTTTTACAAAAGAAAACTATGTCTAATAACTATGGGTCTGCTGTTATCTGAAGCATCTCTTGTTTGTTTATTGTCCTTTATCACATTGTCATATCTTTTACATTTGTTATTTTTAATATTTTATTTATAAAAGTTTGCTATTTTCTCTTATTTATGTTACATTACTTTTTATTGATTGTCAGCATTATTTGACACATAAAGAGATTATACTTTGAGGTCATTGTGATATTTTCTACAGAAAGAATTTATGACTTCCGACAGGAATATTAGACACGAGAAGTCCAAGATCACCTTAATCTAGTAAGTAATTGAGATGATTAGAATGTGGGTAGGTGTGCTTCAGATTTATAGTTTTTCCCAGGGAAGAGACCTATAAGTAGACCTATGATGTCTAGGATATGCTTCAAATAAGAGATGGGGAAATGGATGATAGTATAAATGAAATAAGATTCATCATAAATTGATAACTGTTGAAGCTGAGTAATAGGCACTTGTTCTATTCTGTAAAGTTCTTAATTTTTTTGTTGTATAGATRGACATAATACCTTTATTTTATTTATTTATTTTTATTTTTATGTGGTGCTGAGAATCAAACCCAATGTCTCATACACRATAGGCAATTGTTCTACCACTGAGCTACAACCCCAACCCCTCTATCCTGTAAACTATTATATATGTTTAACATTTGCCATAATAAAATTTTTATGGGAAATGCCAAAATATTACTAGTTAAAGGATTAGTATACAGATTGCATAAAGAACTACTACAGTTTGGTGAAGCTTTGTGTGCATGTCT